AACTAGCTAGCCTACTAGCCCTAAGTAGGCGAGGTAGACTATAGGTCTAGCTAAGGAGCTAGACTTAAGCTCTTAGCTACTAGATATTCTAAAATGGAAAAACTCTAATTAAATCTACTTAAGGGAAAATTCCTCGGCTATATAGTCCTGCCTAAGTCACGTAGCTACTTAAGCCTTAGGCATATATGCTTAGTTCTCAAGTAGAGACTTTAAGAACAATGGATGTTTCCAAGGCTTACTAATCGAGAAGCGGATGCTCCCGCTGCATTCTGCAACTACATCCTTTCCTTTATGTCTCTTCATCATTAACAAATCAGCACTTGTCGTAGCCTCACGTATCACACAAGTGCTAAAGTCAGACACTGCGGCATGTAGAGGATCAAGAATGATCCATCGAGGCGCTGATTGGCCAGAGTGTGAGCTCTTGAGTATGGCAATCGGATTCCGACAAAGTGTCGAAACCCGACGCCTCGAATCCTGCTCACCGGCCATCGCCTGAGTAAGCAATGTCTTCTCTTGACATCAATATGTGTTCAAGGTCGCTAAGTTGATTGTCTAACCTTCTGGGGTATACTTCTATCGCATCTGAGGATACTGACCTTAACGCTTTCCAACCTGTCGTGGTGTTCAAGCTTACTGATCTCTTCCCCTTGGACGTCCAACTCGTCGACGTGGTGGAGAAGCTTCTGGTCTTGCCCTGGTGAATCGAACTTTGGGGAACCCTGAGTCTGGTCGTGTAAGGGGGAGGGACTTCCATTCTACTGAAGACCATGGGTCTTCAGAGCGAGACTATAGTCCTTTGGACATATCCTGCGGCATTCTGTCTGGGGTCATTGGCAGCAAACATCTATGAAGTCCTGTACAGGAGCAAGAATGATGTGGAGAAGCCCGTGAGCCAGTCTCGCATTGCAACAGCGAACAGAATGGTGCAATGTCTCCATTACATTCTGGTGATCACTCTTGTAAGTTGAAGGTCGCTTATGCCACCACAATCAAGCGCGGCTTCTAACGCAAATTTGACAGACAATCAACACCGGGTTTGCAGGATACGGAGCGTTCAAGGGAACCAGCATACCATTGTTTTCTACTGAAGCATATCTTGTGAGCACAACTGTTCAAACAATCACTGCGGCCCGGAATTAGCTGACATGCATAGGGCGCCACTTTGTCCATACTGCTCATATATTGCGGCGCGCTACTTCCAGATCCTGTTGACCCATATTTCCCAACTATGCCGAATATGGCGACCTGGATATTGAGTGTCCTCTATGAGATGGCAATCATGATCATGGGACTAGTCGACGTTGCATCTTTGGGATATCCGCAACAAGATGCTGTATCTTCAGTCTGCGTGGCACTCATGGCAACCCGGATCATCACCCTTAGTGCAATGGTCGGCGTGTATCTCTACCGTGAGCGGGGAGAGAGCGAGACAGGCTCTGATGATGAGCGCCAGTCCTTACTTAGTGAGGAACAAAATTGCGAACCGACATATGGCTCGGCCGAAAATTTGAAGCCAGCCGGAGCAAAGGATGCGCAGCATGTTTCCGCGTTCGACTACCTGGTTGGGTTCCGCGATTTGATCCCATATCTCTGGTGAGTCTGGCCGCTCATAACGCCACATATGACAGCCTMACTAATCTTCGAAGGCCAACTGGGGATCGTGCGCTGCAATTACGGGCTGTGTTCTGCTTCGGTCTGCTCACCGCCCAGCGCATCGTCAACATTCTCGTGCCTCATCAGCTTGGAATTGTAGTGGAACATTTAGGCAAAGGCAAGCTGCCCTTGAAAGAAATCCTGCTTTACGTCCTTTACCGAGGACTCCAAGGACAACAGGGAGTCATARGCTCTTTGCGAGCCATTCTTTGGATCCCTATCAGTCAATCAGCTTACCGCCGGCTGACAGTCGCTGCTTTCGAACACGTCATGAAGCTTTCACTGGAGTTTCATCTTGGCAAGCGAATTGGCGAGGTTATCAGCGCACTGAGCAAAGGGAGTGCCATCAATACATTTCTGGACGGCCTGATTTTCCAGCTTTCACCCATGGTGTTTGATCTCTTCATTGCTGCCATCTACTTCTTTGTAGAACTGGATGCATTCTACGCTATTATTGTGGTTGCGGTCATGTGGTTCTACCTTTTCGTTACCATTTACATGGCGAAATATCGGGGCAGAGTCAGACGAGAGGCTGCGACGAGGGAGAGGAGCATAGAGGCTGCAAAGTCAGTACAATCACATTTACGTCTACCGAAACGTCAGGCTGACCCCAAACAGAACCGACGCTATCATGTCATACGAGACTGTCCACCATAATAGCGCGCTTCCACTCGAGATGTCAAGATTCCGACGTCTGGTCAACAGCTTCCAGGTGTCGGAATACTCCGTCTTCTGGTCTTTGAACTTGCTAAACGCGATCCAGAACTTCATTTTTGTTCTGAGTGTCATGCTGGTCTGCCTGTTGGCAGCTTACCAGATCGATGTCGGGCAATACAGAGTTGCCATGTTTGTGACGGTTCTCACGTACCTCGCTCAGCTGCAGGCCCCTTTGAACTTCTTCGGAAGCTTCTATACTCAAGTGCAAAACAACATGGTCGATGCTGAGCGTATGCTCGCGCTTGTAAGTATAGTGTCGGTCTTTGACCACTCAACGAACCTCTGCTGATGGCTGCCCGTAGTACAAGATCGTACCCTCGATCAAGGATCGAAAGGATGCTCAATCAATCGATGCATGCCAAGGCCGAATCGAGTTCAAGAACGTCAACTTTGCCTACGACGCTCGCAAGCCCGCCCTATCTGATGTCAGCTTCACAGTGGAGCCAGGAACTACTACTGCGATTGTCGGCGAAAGTGGGTCTGGAAAGTCCACATGTATGAAGCTTCTTTTCCGCTCGTACGAAACCGGCTCCGGGTCCGTCACCATCGACGGAGTCAATGTGCAGGATTTCAAGCTGGCCAGCCTTCGTACTCACTTCGGAGTTGTGCCTCAAGACACGATTCTTTTCAACGAGACCATCTTGTACAACATCACGTACTCAAAGCCAGATGCCACGCAAGAAGAAGTTGAAGCGGCATGTAAAGTCGCAAGCATTCATGAAAAAATCATGAGATTTCCAGATGGATATCATACTAATGTTGGAGAGCGCGGATTGAGGCTTTCAGGCGGCGAGAAGCAGAGAGTACGTATTGCATTCCATCCAAATATGAAAGCGCAACAGCTGACTGACCATGTATATATAGATCGCCATCGCCCGGGCGGTGCTCAAAAGACCGGTGATTATGTTGTTGGATGAAGCAACCGCGTCATTGGACTCGTCTACCGAGACCATGATTCAAGATGCATTGAAGGTAGCGTGTAAAGGACGGACTACCGTTGCTATTGCGTGAGTATACTCCGCCGCGGCTTGATCTTGGGTTCACAGCAGCTGACATGCTCTTTCTTCTCTAGACATCGACTGTCCACCATTACAGATGCGGATCAGATCCTCGTTATGCGAGAGGGAGTTATTATCGAACGTGGGACACATGAGCAGTTGCTGGCGCAGGACGGTCGCTATCGGTCAATGTGGGAGAAGCAGACGAGGAAGATTCCTACCGAGTGATCCTCGCCGCTCTTGTCTGCTTTAAATTGAGAGGTGAGGTGAGGTGAGGTGGCCAATGCATGGGATCATCGCCTTGGTAGCAATCCATCGACTTAGACGGAGTTGTGGGAGCTCCCCTTCGCTCTTCCTTGTTGTACTACCCAGACCCCGCCRTGCAGCGTTTGTCAAGGTATGAAAGTGGAGATGGGGGTGGGAACCTGCCTGCAGACAACCTGTATCCTTGTAGATACCCTTGTCGTTGCAGCAGAAAACACTTTGCAAGATCTCAAATTGCCCGTACAATTCGTCTCCGACAAAGTCATGAGGTGGTAAGGCGAATTTCCAAAGCAGACGCAAAAACACCTCGGGCGGATTCACTTGTGCGACGGCGGAAGGAACGGCCCTTGCATGGATCTTGGAATGTTTACCTCAGCTTCCGGACGCATCTGAGCGCTCACGCACAACACCATCCCTCGCGCCCAAAAATGGCCGATTTGCTTGGTCAAGGCGCCCAGCAATGGGAGGGACTGCAGAAACAGCTGGAAGCTGTGAAAGATCAAAATGAGCGTTTACGGACAGAACTCGCGATCAAGGTAAAACTGATGTTGATCAAGATGCTACACTTTCCATCAATTGACACAATTAGGACGCGGAGATCAAACGCACGCGCATGCCTCGTTTGATTCAGCTACGGGCTCAAGGCGATGCAGACTATTGTGACATTGACGATGTCAAGACGGTGCGACAAAGACTGGACGATCGGGATCTTGTTCTGCGGGAGATGAAGGATATGATTCGCCGCAAACCCTCGGGTGTGCTGGGCGAGAAATTGAGGAAGCACGAGTGGARAATGACCGGAATCGCGGACTTACCACCGGTCACTTTGTGGGAGGAAGAGGAATTGAAGAGGGAGGCAGAGCAAGGCATTGAAGATAGACCGGTTGAGATTGAACGCTCGCCTCCCGCGAGTCCCGGACGAGCCACGCTGAAAGGGAAGAAGGAATCTCACGCTTCTGCCGTGAAGCAACCTGACTCGGAACTCACACGACGACTCCTACATACTCCTCAAAGCAGTCACCAAGATCTACGCCAGCGGGATATAAGTGAAGACCAAAAGCCAGTGGGTCCACGACAGGATACCGTGATGAGGTCCGTTGAAGCTTCACCAGCACCTCTCGGTCACACCGCACGCAACAATCGTCAAGCACAGATACTATTGAATCGTAAGCCTGTCTGCGCTCATTGCTGGAACAGCGGTCAATGGTGCGACTCTTCATCTGTTTGCACCCACTGCAAAGAATCGGGAACAAAGTGCGTCTACAAAAAATGTAGATCAGGAAATGCTTGCGGAAGTCCACGCTGTCTGTACATCCATCCCGAACAGTACAGACATCAAGAAGCGAGCTGGAATGTCGAGGATGGAACTCTACGACACAAGCATCCACTCGACCCGCGGAGACGCCAGAGTCTACATGGCTCTGATGGTACATCCAACGGCTGGGAACGTCGCGCGAGCGGAAAGGTCTCTGGGAAGCGGACCCGTTCTCCACCAGGTCCCCCAGGACTGGACGCTACAGACGAGAAATTCACTCGGAAGAGTGTATGCGTGAATTGCTACAACACGAGCACCCTCTGCGACTTCAACGGGCGTTGCAATGCTTGTCGAGATGCGAACTACAAGTGCGTGAGGATCCACTGTAAACTGGGCTTGTCTTGTCGAGCGAAGAGATGTCCGTGTGTGCATCCTGGACAGTTTGATCTGACGGATACGACGTGGAATGTCGAGCATGGAGATCTGTGAGAGGTTCACAGGTAGCAGTTGTCTTCTCTTTCGATGTTAGCGGGTGTATTGAACCGGCTATGATAGGAAGGCGGAAGCAGTGCTGCGGATGTAGCATGTAAGTACTAATACTCCAAAGAAGATCGTCTGAACAAAGAGTTCTCATGTCTGTTCTCTTTCTCGTATGATCTAGTGCTTCATTTTGAAACTGTAGATCGCTGGAAATGCTATAAGACCAACGAGAAATCCACCTCCTTTGTGAGATCACAAGGTCTGAATTATGCCATACACCCTCCTACAAACTCTAAACTACCTCTCACAAACCGGAGACTGGGAGCGCATCCACAGATATCCCAAAGAAGATGGCACGAAGAAGAAGAAGACGAAACCTACAATCCCAAAGCGAGAAACTCTCGACCGCAAGTGCCTTCTGACTATTTCAAAGCGGAAAAGAGTTCAGGGATGTCAATTGAAAGTGCACCGTGTTCATCAAGAGTTTTCCAAGCAGAAGAAATCTCTATTATTGGTGTTCAAGTGGATGAGTGGACTGGAAGTAGTATCTTTTACAGATTTCTTATACTGTCGGGAAGAAAGACGACGCTGTGGATGTAGTGTTTGAGGGATATTTGAAGGGGAGTAGTACTTTTTCATGACGAGACGATAAGGGTCAGGTTTTGCTAATGCTATGTGAAATGTAGATATTGTCACATCCAGCGACCAGATTGTCGAAAATTGAGAATTTTGCTTTCTGGTGACAAGTTTTCGCTCTCAGTAGGCTTTATGCATCCCATACGCATCATCTTCTATGCAGTTGCGGAGCTTACGTCGTTCATTTGGGAGAATTTGCAATTTGGCACTCCTTGAGCACACATTCAGTCCCGCCTCTCGATCATCCCAGCTTCTGAACCTTGTCTCTCGACACGCTCCCCACGACAGATCGGAACAGTGACCCATTCAACGGTGGGGCACTTCTCGTTGATCAAARAACCCTTTCAAAAGCCCACACTCAATGACAGAATCAACCGCTCATTCCTGACGTCTCCGCTTCCGCGCGCTGCAATCCGCAGCATCACTTAACTGAGCTGTAGTAGACGCAGATGATTTCTCCACCTGGCTCAGACTCCACTCGTGGTTCCGCAGCTTCTCCGTCATGATCACAGGCTGTTTTGCCTCAGGGGCTTTCGTCCGATCCGTTGTGAGATATGAATGCAGCAAATCAGAGCTCACGCTCCGGGAGTCTAGCAGGCGTTTCTCGCTAGTCCTGAGCAGACGTTCGTACGACCGCTGTTCCGCTTGCAGTTTTCCTTGTAAAGCTTCTACCGCGACTTTGCTGGCTTGTAGCTGGGTGTTCAGGAGCTCGATTCGGGATTCGTAATGAGCGATATTCGTTCCATCATCGGAGCTGGGCTCTGCTGCATGTGATTTCAGAGAATCGATTTCCTTCTTGGCTGCGAGCAAGTCCGCGTCGGATGTCTGAGCTCGCAATCTCGCGATACCCAGTTCGAACTTGGCAGTCTGTAGTTCGTTCTTCGTCTCATTTGTTTGAGTCTCCACATCCGCCGCTTTCGCTACCAGAGCCTCGTTCTGAGTCTTCAAGGTGTGAATGTCCTCCTTCGCATCTTCAATTTTCATCCTTGCTACCTCCATCACATCGTCGATCCTCTTCTTTAGATCTTCAACTTGGACGGCGAGTGATCTCTTTCCATCCTCCGCGTCTTCAAGCTCCGATGTCAATGCCGTCACCGCTTGATCTGCGACATCTGCTTGCTTCTTGAAGCCTCCCATTTCCTTGTGCTTTTCCCATGTCTTCGCTTTCCAGACCTTGACTTGTTCCTCGGCCGCCTGAAGCTGAATCTTGGTGATTTTCAGTTGCTCAATAGGTTCATTCAGTCGCTGCCAGATTGTCAGCATCAATGGATCGTCGTTCATGATGTATCAAGCCGTGTGAGATGATGTTTGGTGCTGTGTTTGGGGAAGGAAATAGACTGAAGCTGAAGCCGATCATGAGATTGAATCGTCACGGCAACCAGATCTTCATCGAGATCTCCTGGAAGATTCCATTTTGAAGGGCCTGGAAGACAACGAAATGCCAGGGTCGTCTCTTCTCGCTTTCGAGAGCAGGATCGCAAAGATGGGCTTCACATTTGTGCATCCATGCCAGCTCACCGTTAAAATAGAGGGACGAGTACAACCTCCCAAGATTCCACTTCGCAGACTTTACCTGGAGTCCATCTAGAGTCCAYCCGAGGATGGAAGTAGAACGACACAGGAGTTGCCCGCGGTACTGGCAGCACGCGTGCGGCTAAGCATGCTTTCAAGCTCTTGTCCTCCATCTTGTTTCCCTGAGACAGCAGGGTGTCGGATCTCGTCTAGCAGCGATATCGTGGTAGAATGCGAGTTTGATGAGTATGGAGCTGAGTGGAATGCCACCGTCATCTTTGCTGTCAAGGGCGTCAGCTTTCGGCAGAAACCCTGTCTAATAGATGCTGTTACTTCACCTCGAGGTGCACTATCCCAGAGTCCGATGTGCTATTGCAGGCGCATTTGAAGCGCAAGCCAACCAGATCGAGATGTCATCGAATTGGCAAGATCCAAGATCGATCTCCACTCTGAAGGCGCCTTCCCTCACCGCCGATCTCCTGAAAATTGCGCTCGGAACGATGGAGGAAGCGTGAATGCACATCAAGACGAAGGGATGCTGTACAGTGTATATCATCTACATCTCCATTCTTCATCCAAGAAGAAGAAGTCCCTCGTATTTCCACAGACGCACCTCGTTTACTCTGCCTCCTCTTTCCCCTCGTTCTCTTTACCTCTGAACTCCTCGGCCTCATACCTCTTTCCTCTGAAGCCCCAGACACCCCAGTTCCCGCAGCTCACATCTCCTGGATCCGCGTCATTAATCTCCCACCTCAAACTTCGGAAGCGGTTCTCGCCAGGCYTGATGATCAGATCCATTTCGCCGCCAACTTCTTTCTGGACCCACTCAATATCTCTCTGCATGTCAAACTCGGTGTATCCAGTGCAAATGATCGGGACTTTCGTCTCGAGCAGTTGAGGAATGGTATCTTTCCATTCGTGGGAACTAGCGGGATGTCCGAGACCAGGATGGAAGAGAACGAAAGCATCAAAGTAGGGATCGTAGGGCGCAAAGTGCTGTGCTTCATGAAGAGTGTGGAAGTACTCGACATATGTGCTTATTTTGACTGCACCTCCAAGACGATCTTCGACGATGGCGCCAAAGGGGTTGGAAGGCGTGCGTTCCGGAAGGGGAAACTCATCATCGCGATTCGCCATACTTTCCGGACCGATGAAGTTGAGATGGAACGTCGCTCGAGGGAAAAGATGAGAAAGCTGGAGCCAGACTTCACGAGGCAGAGAGGATTCGGCACGGGCACCAAGAATGAAGAGACGGACCGGCGGAGGGTTTGGCCGAAGGCCTTTTATATCAATCCCGGCACCTGTACGAGGTGGGTGGAGGGTGTAACGCAATGCTGTTATCATGTCAGTGTTTGAGGTATATTGAAGGTGGCAAGCATGTCATACCGCTCAAAGATCGAAGACCTTCGGGGAGGAGTTTGTCCTTTAGACTGTATGGACTGAGTTCGTGGAGAATGCTTCCAATTGTAATGGGATACGTCAATAATCTTGTCACCTGCCTCATACTTCGCTCGTCATTGACCGCGTTGAACTCCCGGCTAAAGAGCATGGTATCCCAATTGGTCAAGTTGACCTGTGCTTCGTCCATCCCTGCAGGTGGGTACTCAAACTCTGGGAAGAACCTGCCAGAGGAAAGATCGTGATCATCTTGGTTGATCTCTTTCAAAAGATCGCAGATCTCTAGATGAGATTCATAGTCGTCCACGAAGTGCTCCTCGCTGCAAGAGACTGGGATCCCGCAATCAGGACACTCATAGCGGACATGTGCTGGCGGAGCGGCGCCTGWTTTCCTCGCTTCCAGATCGTGTGGAGATGTTGGCGCACGAGTGGCTTGATGCTCAGGGTGGGGACAATAAGCGTTCATGCGCATGAACGCGGCCCTACGACGTATGGTGGGTGACGGCGAGTTTGTAAAAGAATGGAAGAGATTGTCGGGTTTGAGGAGTACGCGAGACTCATCGGGAGTCGAGCTAGAAGATGCGGTGGCTGCTGCTGTTGATGCTGCATTCTGCTGGGCAGAGTGGTGGATCTTGCGGCTCTGTTGCTTCGCGCTCGGTAGTGGTGGAGGAAGAGTGGTAGAGGAGATGCATGCTCGCTGGATGAAAGGACGTGATCGCGAAGGTAGGTTTGTCTTCGCTACACGCAGACAGCGCGTACATATGGACTTGGAAGCCATGGCAAGCGAGATGATATGGTGAAGATCAACTTTCCATGATGATGCCCTGAAGTTCGATCGACCGGCCTCAGCTCCGACATCAAGAGTGACATTGAAGACACTAGTGCGATGGAGGGTAACACGCCTCAACATGCGACGGCTACTGTTTAGCTATACGGCAAAGCTGCTGACTGAGAACGAGCCAACTGTGATGTATCATAAGATACAATAACCTCTGAACTGCTGCCAACATCTGATTGTCGCTCTTTCTTCTGATGGTCCGCAAATCGACTCTTTCGGACTAGCGCAGTAGTCCCGCGAGTCATGCTTCAATCAACTCCATCTTTCACAAGCTTCGAAGTTCGTCCACCTTGATTTGTTCATCCACCACCACCTCGATGCGCCCATAGCGCTCTTACACGCCCACAGCGCCCTCACACGCTCACACCGCTGCCATACGTCTATAGCGGTCGTGCACACCCACCATGTCGAACGTGCAGCAGAACCAGGCCTTCTACTCACTCACTCTAGAAGCGCCATCTGCACCAGCCGCTGCCGTCACTTGCAACGTGATCCCTGGAGCGAAGAGCACTGATCAATGCATCTTCGAGGGACGCGGACAACATGTTCTACTTCACAGGGTGGTGGAGAATGCAGACCGCACGGAACGCAGCTTGGTGACGATTGCGGATCAGGATGTTTTTGGCATTGTCCGTGGGGTCGCGGCCTTTAGAATTCCAGGCACTAGCACAGATCAGTTGGTCGTCTCCTCCGACTCGGGGCGTATCACCATGCTCACCTACGACCACGAAAAGCAAAAATTCAAGCGCGTCCACCTCGAAACCTATGGCAAATCTGGCATTCGACGCACGATTCCCGGCCACTACCTCGCCAGCGATAGTCGTGGAAGATGTATAATGCTGGCATCGGTGGAGAAAAACAAGGTGGTGTACATGATGAACCGCCACGCCGACGGCAACATCATCATGTCCAGCCCGCACGAGGCCAATCAGTGGGGCAGTCTGTGTTTTGGCATCTGCGCATTGGATACAGGTTGGGAACCGCCGATCTTCGCTGCACTCGAGGTGGAATATACCGAAGCCGATGGAGATCCCAGCGGGGATATGTATGAGCGGAGGGAGAAGCAGCTCGTCTACTACACGGTGGATATGGGTTTGAATCATGTGGTCAAGAGCTGGAGCGATGTGGTGGATTATTCGGCGAACATGATCATCGGAGTGCCAGGAGGTCAGGATGGACCATCAGGCGTGTTGGTCTGTGCTGAAGATCGGATCTACTACCAACACGACAAGCATGCGTCTCTCTCTATTCCAATTCCGCGGAGGAAAGGCGCAACAGAGGATCCCAACCGCAAAAGAATCATCGTCGCATACTGCCTTCATCTCGCCAAGACACGACACGAGTTCTTCTTCTTCGTCCAGACGGACGATGGAGATGTTTTCAAGTTGAGCATGCAGATGGAAATGGACGCTCAAGGACGACAGACTGCGAATCCCGAGCGCATCGTACTCAAATACTACGACACATTCCCAGTTGCCCGCCAGATGCTTCTCTTGAAGAAAGGCTACCTGTACATTGCGACCGAGAATGGCAACAGCCATCTTCTTCATGTTGACGACCTCGCCGATGACCCCGAATTTGAACCACACAACACCTTTACCTCCGATGGCATTTCAGCAGACCCGGCTGAGACATACGATCCGACATACTTCCAACCACGCGAGCTTACAATGACCCACCTAGCGATCGACATTCCCGGACTACATCCTCTTCTCAAGACTAGGGTGGAGAATTTGACTGGCGAGGATGCGCCGCAGATCTACGCTCTTCAGGGAACAGGAAACAAAAGCAAGTTCCAGACCATTCGACACGGTCTGGACATCGAGGAGATCATCGACAATGACATGGGTAACGTGCCATACGATAACATCTGGACATTCAAACACCGGTCAAGTGATGAGTACCAYCGCTATCTCCTTCTCAGCAGCAATTACGGCGACTTGACAATTGCTTGCTCGATCGGAGACTCCGTCGAGCAGATCGAAAATTCGAGTTTCTTGGAGAATCGTGCGACAGTCCATGCGCAGCAGATGGGAGATGCAACGCTTGTTCAAGTACATGCCCGTGGTATCCGGAGTATTCTCGAATCTGGCGCTTTGAACGAGTGGCCGACACCAGCCCATCGAACTGTTGTTGTCGCATCCGCCAACGAGCGTCAACTCTTGCTCGCTTTGAGCTCTGCAGAACTCGCCTTCTTCTTCATGCAAGACGATGGTATCCTTGTTCAGCTTGAGGAGATGCCTGAGATGAGCGGCAAGGTCACTGCTCTCTCTGTCGGTCAGACACCGAAGGGTCGCCAGCAAGCCAAGTATGCTGTCGTTGGTTGTGACGACTGCACCATTCGTGTCTTGAGCATCGAGCTGGATTCGCCTTTGGAGCCACGCAGTGTGCAAGCTCTCTCGGCTATTCCTACATCGCTCGAGGTTGTCGAAATGCTCGACCCGTCATCAAACACATATGTGAATGTAGTTCACATCGGTCTGCAGTCTGGCCTCTACCTCCGAGCTGTCATTGACGAGACGACCGGTGAACTGGGAGATGTTCGAACAAAATTCCTCGGCACCCGTGCGCCCCGACTCTGTCCCGTGGAAGTGAACAACCAAGAGTGCGTCTTGGCCTGCTCCAGTCGGCCATGGCTGGGCTATAACCATCCACAATCTAACGTATACACGGTCACGCCACTCATCTCAGAGCCTCTGGAAGCAGCACGGTCCTTTATCAGCCCTGATCTCACTGGCCTTTGTGCAATTCAAGGCTCACATCTCCTCATCATCCAAATACCTTCCATCGAAGGCCGATTATCGTACTCATCAAWCGACCTTAACTACACACCTCGCGCCATGGACCGGAATCCATGGTACCCAATTTTCTACACTGTCCAATCTGACGCCAACACCCTCTCCGCCGCGACACGGCTTCAGATGCGTGTGAAAAACGAGCCGTCGATTAAGAAAGAAGGTGCAGAAGAGGAAGAAGCCACTGCGCTCGAGAAACATCTCGGTCTTCCTCGAGGTGAAAATCACTGGGCTTCCTGCATCCAAGTCATCGATCCCATAACCTCCAAATCGGTTCTGATGRCTCTCGAACTGGGCGAAAACGAAGCAGCCCTCTGCTGTGCTGTCGTCCATTTCGCATCTCGCGAAGGCGAGCTCTTCCTCGCTGTCGGCACCGGACAGCACATGTCGCCTGGTACGCCGAAGGAAACCGTCGGATATATCCATATCTACGCACTCCACGATGAAGGTAGAAGGCTGGAAAAGGTTCACCAGACAGAGTTCGAAGCTCCTATCTACGCGCTCACGCCATTCAACGGTCGCATAGCGCTGGGTGTGAGGGACGAGTTGTTCATTTACGACATCGGAATGAAAGCTCTTCTTCGAAAGGCGAGAGGAACGGCTGTTCCCAACATGATTGTCTCACTTGCCAGCCAAGGCAACAGAATCGTGTGTGGAGACGTCAGCGAAGGCGTGACGTATGTGGTGTACAAGCCCAAATACAACCGTCTGATCCCCTTCGTCGACGATGTCACGCAACGCTGGACCACAAGCGCGGGCATGATGGATTACGAGAGTGTAGTCGGTGGAGACAAGTTCGGCAACATTTGGGTTGTGAGGTGTCCGGAGCTTACTTCCAAGGAAGCAGACGAGGAAGGTGCTGGCGGGTATATCATGAACGAGCGCAGCTATCTCAACGGAGCACCTTATCGACTGGAGCTACGGGCACACTACTTTGCGAACGACATCCCGACGAGTGTGCAGAAAACAAGTCTGGTGGCTGGTGGTGCCGAAGTGGTCTTTTGGTCCGGCTTACAAGGAACATTGGGAATGCTTGTTCCCTTCGTGACGCGTGAGGATGTTGAATTCTTTACGACACTTGAGAGAGAGATTCGTTCAGAAGAGCCGCCACTTGCGGGCCGCGATCACTTGGCATATCGTAGTTACTACGTCCCGGTGAAGGGAGTAATTGATGGCGATCTTTGCGAGCGATTCTTGAAGCTGACGGTCGATCAAAAGGCCAAAGTTGCGGCAGAATGCGAGAGAGGGGTTGGGGAGGTGGAGAAGAAGGTCTTGGAGATGAGAGGCAGAGTCGCATTCTAGATGGTCTTGCGCTTGTAAAAGTAGAATAGAAAACCATCAAAGAGTCCTCGACCAGACCGATATATGAAAGTAAGACGTGCCAATTGCTCACTTTCTTCTCTTCGCGGGGCTTCTTGCGAGTCTGCCATCGGAAATGGATGTGTTCAATCGTTCCGCGCAGTACACCAGCAATACTGCCCAATTGGGAAGGAGCATAGTGAAGGAAGCCACACCGCGACGCCTGAGGATCTTCGTACCGCGACACGCATTGGTTCGATTCAGAAGCACATTTCGTCCACTACTCTGCATCTTCATCATGTTCATCCTGCCACTCAACAACTTCGTCAAAATTCCTACGCTTATAAAAAGTACTGAAATCCACAGGCAAACGCGATCCCTGTTCATCAGATCGCTGATTATACTAAGAGCTGAAGCCTCAATTTTCGCCTATGCTCACTGCTGGTGACTGACTTTACCCGCAGCTGCAACTCTGATCGTACGTCGGCATCGGCTATGCCAGCAAGTAGGTACCTTTTCGTCCATGTCACTGCATGTATAGGAGTCGTGTAACTCGTCTCTCATTCATAGGTCGTCCCGAAGATAGTAACGCCAACTTTTATCGCATTCATTGCAAGCCATGCCGTGTCCATCGCAAATTCATCACACCCGGGAACAGTACAAACTACTTGTTCATACCAGCCGCAGCAGCCGTGACTCTACTCACAGTCTCCTCCAGCAAAGCCAGCTCCGCGATGATGCTCTCAGTCTTCTCTGTAGCGAGGTCTCCCCCCTCCACGAGGGCGTCTCCGAATCTCTTCCTCGCATCTCTCAAAGGCTGCAAGAAACTTGCCGCGATATCCGCGTCGTTCCACAAATCCGCAATCGCCAAGCTCTCGCGAATGTGTTCTGCATGAAGGAGCAAGAAGAGAAAGTTCAAGCTGCTCAGATAGAAGGAGATGTTGGTCTGGAAGGTCATCCAGGCATCTTGAATCGGTGCAACGTTGAGCTCGGCTTGCAGAGAAGGGAAGAGGAAAGGCGCGAGACTATCCAGTGCGAGAGGTTTTGCGAAGACTGATTCGCTTGACTCAGTCTCGTGCGAGTGGCTGTGCATGGATACCATTGGATTCGCTTCGATTGTCTCGCCTTTGATCCATCCCACAGCAGCAACTTTCAGATTCTCAAAAGGACAGTGCTCCAGCGTGTCTCTAATGAATGAAAGTCTAGCAGCATCGTCCGGTTGAGATCGGAGTACGGTAGTGGTGAGGTAGTGCGCGTGGCCTCGGAGATTGGAATTCGGGCAGTTGGAAGACAGGAGGGCGATGACTTGGAGGTACTCGTTGAACTGTTCGTCGCTCCTTGGTTCGCCAATTTGGTTTCGCTCTAGACTGACCAAGCCCAAGGCGAGGACGGAGTCGATGAGAGCTTCGGGTTCGGTGCCTAGCTGTCCGGTACCCATGCCAGGAGAGGACAGGCCATGCTTGAGAAGTTCCTGGTGGTGTGGGAATAGCTCAAATGGGGCTCCTGCATAGGATTGTCGGTCGTAAAGAATCGTGGAGGCTTGTCGAGCCGAGTAGAGCAGTAGAGAACCGAGTCTTGATAATGGGATGTCCTCTGCTGATGCAGGTGGCTCATCTTCATATCCTGCAGTCTCCGGCATGTTCTCGTCAACCATGCTAGCAGTCAATAGGTCATTGTCTGCTAGTTTTAGGTCTTGCGAGAGCATTACCAGCTGTCCAATGGCGTCGATCCTCCTGTGCAAACTCTCTTCCTCTGCGAACCGGCTTGCGAACGTCTTGGACGCCGGGATATTGCGTTCGGGATGCACCTTCTCCATGATTCGACTACACCACGCCATACCTGGCACTTCGTCGTGCGAAGAGAGGTTGAGCATGTATTCTTCGAGGACGTGCGCAATAAAGGCTTGGAGAAGCTTCTTCTCCAATGCTTTCTCCTCAGCACTGACTTCTAATCCCGCTGTACCTTCCGGATCGGCAGCAGGGGAGTCGGTTGTCTTGGGTACACTACCAAGCATAGCGCTGCTCTTCCGTGATGGAAGTGCGGGCCTCTGCACGCCAGATACAGCACGCACAGCACGGACGATGGCCTGCACCATCTCTTCTCGATGAGACTGTGAGTTGGAGAAGCTCGCCAAGATGGCCTGAAGACTCGTGCTAAGAAATCTGCTTGGATACTTGGTCTTAATTCGTGGATGTAAGATCTCGAGCATGGAAAGCAGCGCCACAAATTGGCTGACTTCGAGAGGCAATGGCGGCGGAAGCTCTACTGCTTGTGCCGTTCCTACGGATCCCGTGACAGTTGCAGTTTTGAGCGGGTAAGTTGAAGTGTCAGCTTGAGATCGGCCAACGCTGGCGCCCGCCTGAGCATCGTCGTCGTGCGCGTCTTGCTCATCGGCTTCATCCTCCTGGTATTCGATAAGGCGAAGGACTTCAGTCACTTTGAGTATCACTTCCCGCGGGTTTCCAAGGCGCGCAATGTCTTGCAGGCAATGCTCGGATTCCGGAAGATAAGGGACAAGCAAATGGACGAGATCCCAGCCGATGTTGATGGTGAGAGTTTCGTCTTGCAGGATCTTGTGAAGGATTGGCAGGTTTTCCGGCTTGAGATTGTATTCGACAATCGTCAAATAAGTGATGTAGTCCGAGACGGGTGGCAGTGCCTGGATCAACGGGCTTTCGCTGTCTGCCATGTTTGTTGTTTGATAAAGTCCAGATTTGAGGATGAGCTTACTTGTCGGCGGCGGGGTTATGACCGAGTACTTCTCAAGCTATCGGCACTGTTCTGACAACGAGTGCGACGGTCAGTTGTTGATGGGAGTGAACTTGTTCGTGTTGGAGCAAATRGGAAGAGGGATTGATCAAATTCACCAACAGATGACGTTGTAGTGGTTGAACCTTGCAGAAACATTCAAGGATCTGCGTGGAGGTGGGAAAGTCGTGAAATGATAGGTCTGCATACTACACGGTACGGCATGTACAGCACATGGACGACAAGACAACTGAGCGGCAGGACACGCTTTTCTAGGGATACATACAACAATACATATGTACAAAGAGAGGTTTGGATCTGCCGCCGCTGCCACCCGCTTCAACTCCAAGATGCTAGGATTCCGCCTCTAATTTATTTCACAGGTGCGTTGGGGTCGATGGTCTTTGTGGACTTTGTCGTCTCGGTACTGCCATCGCCCTTCTTCGACTTCTCTGCCATGTGGTGAGGTGCGTTGGAGTGCTTCAAACAGTTAGCATAGAAACCGACATGATCCTGATGGAGGTGACCTCAGAGTAATACGTACAGAAGCCTTCGTGCTGTCACCCAAGCTGCTCTTACTCTTGTTGGTTTTAGCGTTTTTCACTGGTCGTGTCAGTCATGCTGAAGATTGAGTCTGCAGAGTCCCAGGATTGCTTACCGGAGTCCTTGGCTTCGTTAGTTTTGGTCTCCTTCTCGGCAGACTTGTCCTCCCTCTCGTCAGACGTGTTCTCCTTCTTGTCGTCTGACTTCTCCTCCTTCTCTTCGGACTTCTCCTCCTTCTCTTCGGATTTCTCCTCCTTCTCCTCAGATTTCTCCTCCTTCTCCTCAGATTTCTCCTCCTTCTTGTCGTCGGACTTCTCCTCCTTTTCTTCCGACTCCTCCTTCTTCTCATCCTCCTTCACTTCCTCCTTGTCATCCGACTTCTCCTCGGCGTCATCGGCAGGAGCGGCATCATCAGCTGGAGCCTCATCCTCCTTCTCCTCATCCTCGTGCTCCTCGCCATGTTCCTTTCCATGGGCATCATGGCTGTCGTGTCCATCGTGGTGACCAGAGGACTGTTCAGGCCAGAGGTACCAGCAAGAAGGAACAGTTACAGCAACTGCACCCAGCGCCCTGTACAAGTTATCAGCCCAGCCCTACCGTCGTAATCCCTACACCCAGTCGTGTAAATCACCGCAAAGCCCTCCTCGCACTCACCAAGGCAAATCTGAGCTAGGCTCAGCATGTCCGTGGCCGCCGCTGCTTGCGAAGCGTCGGGTGACAAGCTGCGTCCGCGCTCGGGGTGCGGCGCGAGTCGCGGTGGATCTGAAAGTGGAATGGAAGCTCCGCAGAGCGTTTGCGCGTATTAGAGGCATAATTCGTAGAGTCAATGGCTGATTGATAGGTGTTGAGGCCAAGGTGTGCTCAGTGTTCGAGGAAAGCGAAGTCTCCAGCCACACACAAGCTTGGTTCCAATGGACAATGGACCCGAGGATCGGCGCTTCGGCGTCATGTCAGCTTCATTTTTGATGCTCTCTCTGTATTCAACTTCACGTCGCTGTCACCGGATGGCTTCATTATGCATGTGATGCGAATGTTCTCAAGATGAGCGTACAGATTGATATCGTCACAGCACTCATATAAGAGATGATCACAGTGATGTGCTCGTTCCTGGGATCTAACGTTTGGGCATCTTGAAATTTTGTACATTCAAAACTACCGAAAGCTTCAATCGAAGCCTTGAGTTTGAACCTATCAACACAGGTGTATTACACTATGATACAGCCAGATTGTTCGTCCAGCGCTGAAAGTACAAGGAAAGTCGTGACAACGACACCCGATGCCCCGACGCCGAGCTAATCTCCCATTTGTTTACGCCCTTTCGTTACGCCTCTCCTTCAATCACACACGTTAAGTCCAAGTCGGTCGGCAGTCCCGAGTCATTGGCAAATACGACKGATCTCCTTGACCTGGCGGTTGAGAGCCGCAATGGCTCTCAGAGTAGCAGTGTCGCCGGGGTTGGTCTCCGAGATCTGCATGTAAACACCCTGCATGCGCTGGGCGAGAACATCCATGATCTTGGGCGCAACATCCATGATGTCTCCATCACGGACGTCGATGTGAGCGATGATGCGACCGAGCCACTCCAGACGCTGCTCCACGTACGTGTCGAAGCTGGAAGTGACGGCAGCAGAGACGGTGAGAGCCACTAGCGGAGAGACTCCATCGAGATAGCTGGGGTTGATCCGAACGAACAGCTTGTCGAAGAGTTCAGCCTGACGGTCCGAAGAAATCCACTGTGTCAAAGTTAGCGTTGTCCATTGAATCTTAGCGAGAGCAACATACCTGAATCGTGGCTTCCTCGAACTGGCCGGACATGAGCTTGGCGGTCATGTCCTCGATATCAGCGTCTTCTGGCTCAGCTTCATCGGGAGCGTTGCCAGTCGAGGCTGGTGGTGAAGCGGTTGGCTTGGCCTCACGTTGCATCTTGAGGATCTGCTCCTGGAAGGCAGACTGGCTAGCAGCCATATTCTGCATGGTCAAGGAGAGGCTGCGAACGATGCTGGACAGCTCCTCGATCTTGACGCTGTCTTGCTGACGCTGTGTCTCAGCCTGACGCTGCTGCTGCGCGATTCTCCCCTCAAGGTCTGAGATCATCTTCTGGCTGGCCTGACTGGCCATGCCGGGCAACTGTTGCTGCAACAAGTGGGAGACTTGTTGCTGGACTTTGGCTGCAACCTGGGTGCCTGTGATGTCGGCAATGGTGCGGTGAACTTCCTTGTCTTTGAGGGCTTGTTGCAGTGCGCCGGAGAGCGTCGTCTTCAGCGCGGTGGCAACGCTAGCGTTGAGCTGCTGTGGAAGTGACTCGCCAATCTTGCGATCAATCACCTTGCTGGTGATTTCAGACAGGGCTGGAATGACGTCGCTCTGGATGCGCGTAGTGATGATCTTGGCCAAGCTGGCGTCGACATTCTCGGTCAAGGTAGAGGACACCAGACGAAGGAGAGCATCTTGCTTGGCACCGGCTTTGGCCTCGTTGATACGCTTGTCAGCGTCGATGCGCTGGTAGAGTGAGTCAAACTGCTTGCCCAGCAAAGCGCTGAAGGCATCAGAAGCCTCAACAGGCGCCGTCGGAACCGCACTTGAGGAGGCAACGACCTGTTCAGCAACCCCATCTTTCTTGGSAGAGAGCTCGCGCTGCGCAGGCAGAGAGTATGACTCTGGCGTCATATATGGGTTCTTGGGAATCTGCGGCAGGGCCTTCGTAGGCTCGGGCGAACTCAAGCGAGGAGTGCCATTGGTTGCCTTCGCAGGCGATGCAGACTCCTTCTTGACGTCCTTGGCATCGCTCTTCGCCTTTGTTGGCTCTGGCTTCTTGTTGATAGTGACAAGTTTTGGAACTGGCTTTGACGTACTGTCTGCATTGCTGGACTGCTCGCTGGAAGCCTTATGCACCGTAACAAGCTCGGAGACGGCGATGACGCCCTCTTTTTCGGCATCCCTGGGGTTGACCATCTTGCCTTGTACGTCCCATCCCAGATCCTCGCGCTTGATGCTGATGCCGACGACGCCCTTGGAGTGCATGATGTATAGTTCGAACATGGACTCATCTGCAGTGTTGCGCTCGGCGCCGTTATCGACGGGCTGGCGCAACATGTCCAGGCTTCTGAGCTGACCAACSTTGGCGAAGGAGAACTCCCTAAGTCCGCTCATGATGGCCGTGCTCTCAGGCCGAGGAAGGCTTGGGTCACTACGGGCGAGCATGCTGATGTACCTAGCCTGGTCCATGGTCGGGATGTTGTACTTGGGCGCACTGAGATGAATGAAGTAGATGCTGTTTCGCGTCGGGTGTCCGACTGCAACGATACCAGTCTTGGGATGGTAAGTGATGCTGCAGATACCATCACTGTCCTTCTCGTGTGGAAGGCGAATCTCTTGCACCGCCTTCCCGAGACCAAGGTCCCAGAGCTGGAGGATGTGGTTCTGCTTGAAGCCGATCAGCACGTAGCGAAGAGCGCATCCCTTGGCGACGGCACGATCCTTATCGAGGAACATGATTGAAGAAACGCTTGGCTTCTCCTCTGGCTTGCTACCGGAAGTAACGGCGTTCATAGTCCACAGAGGATCCTTCATTTCGACGGGCTCGTGCTTGACCTCAGCGATGGCAATGGCACGGCTGGTTAGATCGCGGATATCCCAGAACTTGAAGCGCCCGTTCTTATCGAGGCTGACAATCACTGAATCATCCTCGGAAAAGGCAAAGTCCTTGCCAGCCTTGCCGGTGTTGATTCTCAGCGTATGGTCCTTGAAGAATTGTTCACTGTCAACGACCCGAGTAGTCTGGTTGCAGTAGTCCGGCGACTTCACAGTCTCTGGAGAGATGATGTATATCTGCTTGCCGCGGGCAATGGCGAAGAATTCGGGGTGACGGCAGCTCATCTTTGCGCGCGTCTTGACTGGGGATCCCGAGGTATTCTCCTCCGCAGTCTGCACCGCGGGCATGGTGAAGCCCTGGGCCTCCACATCGTCATCGGCGAACAAGTCACCGCGAGACTTTGCGAGAGAGGCCCAGAAGATGGAGCCGTTCACACCTGTGCCCAATAGAGTCTCGACATCGTTGCCGGACTGGTCGGAGTTGCAGAGCTGGACGCTGAACACGCGCTCGCCGCTGGAGCGGTAGATTTGCTTGTGATCACCGCTGTCCTGACGGATGACTCGCAGTCCACCATTGTCCTTCTTCGTGGCCACCTGAGCATACATGATATGCGTCTTACTCGCGGTGGCCAGGCATCGGTCAATCTGGTCGAACTCCTTCTTCAGCTGGGCAATCACCATGAAGTTGTCTTGACGTATCGGACGCGCAGCCTTTGGCTTGATCTGGATAGAGACAAAAGGCTTCATAGGGAAGTTGAAAACCTCAACCACAGAATCCTCTGGCTTCTTGACATCTTCGGCGCTCTCCCAGCTTGACTCCACGTCGGCATTGTCTGTGTTCTCCTTCTTGACGGGAGGAGAATCGTTTGCGGCATCCGCAGGAATAGCCTTGACTTTGTCGTGAGACGCACCAGCAGCTGCCAGCGCCTCCTCGACCTGCTTATCCACCTGTTCACCAACTCCTTCGAGCACTTGTGAAACACTCTGGCTCTTGCTGTCGGCCGCTGTGACCGATGCAGTATCACCCGATCCAAGCTTCCGACTCTTCGGTGCAGGTGCCGCATTCTCGCCGTGCTGGGATGGTGTCGTGTCGCGGTTGTGCTTGAGAATCTCGATCTTTTTAGGCTCGTTGCGGGTTGCTGGGTTGGGAGAGCGATCACGGTTCAGCGGCGAGGATGAGTGAAGCGTGTCAAACGGATTGACGTAGCTGAACTTGGATGCTTTGGATGGCTGGGGCGCCTCGAATTGAGTGCTGCCGTTGACTGGGCTACCGAACTGACGAACTGGCGTTGGCTCGGGCTCGGTGCGGGACGGCGTGTTGTGGGTTGAAGCATCGCCATCAGAGCTGAGGCCAGTAGATGGCTTGCTAGAAGTCTGCGTCTGTGTCTGTGTCTGTGTCTGCGGCTGTGGCTGTGGTGCGGGCTTCTTGAAGAGGTTGAGCAAGATGTCCTGAGACTTGCTCTGCGTGCTCTCTTGCTTCTCAGCTCCGGGCGCAGCCATTGATGATTGGCCTGATGGCTTGCGCTGAATGTTGAGCATCAAGTCGTGGGCTGAGAGAGGCCGGGACTGGCTGGCCTCACTGCCGTGCAGAGACTGAATCGTGGGAATCTGCRATGAGGAGTGGCGATTCGCGGACACGTTTTGCAAATTTGCCAATGGGCTTGACTGAGACTGCTGTTGGCCCGGCGTGCCGCTTGATCGTAGCAAGTTGAGGAGCGACTTGGTGCGGTCGCTGTCAGCAGTGGGTGCGCCGGTGACAGGCTGCGGTGAAGCCATGGTGGATGATGGTGGCAGCGGAGAGATCAGCGGCGATGCAGACGGAGGTGGCTGATTGGCCCAGAGTGAGCTCAATGGTGCAGTCTGCTGCGAAGACGAGCGCAACTCCGGTGAAGCTTGGTTGGTCTGGCCCTGCGTAGGGTGGTTCTTGAGGCGCTGGAGAAGCTCGTCCATGTCGATGACTGGGTTGCGCAAACGCGCGGGGAACGCAGGAAGCGGCGCTCAKACAGGGTTCGTGAGACTATCCAACACTGCTGGATGCAATGATTAGCCAAGTGAGGTTGAACGCGGTCCGAGTCCGGATGGTGAGCTGCAGTTCGATGTTGGTGTTTGTGGATGTGTTTGATGCTCCATAGGTAAGGTACCTAGTCGCGCTGCTTGCCAGTGATGACGTTGTTCTGGATTTTGGAAACGGAAATTGATGATTCGTGAAGTGAGCAATGGATGCGAGCTGTAGAGGCAGACGAAATTGAGGCAGTTCAGTTTTACAAACAGATATTCATGCTCTTCACAAGCGTAAGGCAGATGTTCTTGACGTGCCAAGTCGTCGCGTGAGAGCATTGATTTTGAACGGCGCGCATCGTTGATGCCTTTTGATATCTTTACAGCTGAGCTCTCGTACTGAATACGTCACCTGGCTGCCCATCCACCAGAAGGCCGTCCAGCCTTTCATATCCATTATCAATCATGTTTCTTCGCCATACCACAACGCCATAGCCGGATGGGTGCTTTCCATGCAGCTTCCTCATCTACGCCTGCGTTTCTTTCATATGCCCGTAATCAACCCTCCGAAGCCACCACGCCTCTCGTATTCTATACTGGAAGGTTGAATTTCTTGCCCTGCATGACCCTGGTGAAAGTTAGAACCTCGACAGCTCGAATGTAACTTGACGATCCACAACTCACTTGGTGTAATAGATGTAGAAAAAGTCCGTGTACAGCACTGTCTGCACGATTCCGGCGAGAACGGGGATAGGGTCCCAGTAACCGCCCTCCGCAAAGTAACGCCATATCCAGTTGGGAATGTACAACGCTCTGTATATTCCAAGTGCGAAGAGGTAATGGGTTGTGATCGTCTCTGCTTCACCTGTCCGTTGCAGCATGAATAGCTGTGGCAGAATCGCAACGCTCTCAAGCCAGATCGAAAACGCCCAGAGCATCTGTTTAATCCCCGTCAGCCATTGTGTCCTTCAGGCACCATTTCCAACTCTTCAGACATACCTCAGCAAGAGTGTACTTGTATGGGAATAGCACCGCTAGGACCGCAGCTCCTGCCATAAGATATTGAACTTTAAACGTGTCCTGATTGGGGTCGTGCGTAGGCTTGTAGTCGTTGAGCATGAGGTAGACGGTGTATACTTGTGCGCCAATGAACATGATCTTGAAGCTTGTGTTCCAAAGACTCTTAGTCGGATCGGTCCATAGCAGATCTTACACCGCTGTCAGCCTGCTGCCYTGGTCTCACGCAATGATCCAGCGCAAACTCACCAATGTACCTCGTAACGTAAACTACAAGGTATGCAAGTTGTGATTTGAAGGATATGCCTGAAGCACTCTGTTATGTTTCAGCGGTCGCACTTCTTTTCCATGTCTTCGCCCATTCTCTTGATAGTCGCGTACGCTTGAGGATTTCATCTTAGCYAGCAGGATAAACAGTGAGACCAAATGCGATAGGTCGGCTGGGTGCGGTTAGCTCGCGTCGATACGGTCCTCWATGGTTGCTGAGGTGTACCTAGCATCCGAAAGATATTCATGCTGGGCAGCTTGCGTCACGGGGAATCGATTTGGAGATTTTGGGTATGAAGCCTGTCTCGGGAGGCAGTGGGTAGAATCTTTCAAAGTGGACTCTCCTGGCGACGCGGTGCGGAGCTCGTGAAACGTGGACAGACCAAAATCTTGGAGACGTGATGAGCTGCGAACCTTGTGCGGGACCTACCGCAGCATCCCTGTGGTCCTGCAGATCTCTCAAAATCCTGACCGCACCTCAGCTTGTCTTCTCAACGTCGATGTTCATTTTACCATCCATCCAACCACGCAATTTGGAGTCTTGCCAAGAGCGCTTGTCGATCGTGCCTGTCCATGAGCCAAAAAGCTGCAAATACTGTAGCATCATCGAGCACTGCGATGGAATTACAAAGGCTTAGATCAACCGATCTCCTGTAGGATGGTGCTTCTCATTCCTCTAGGATCTTCCTGCTCGGCAGGATATGGACCTTTACCACGAGAGAGATGAAAGAGATGCGCATCATACATGGTGTCGCTTGACTAATATGTGCGTCCTTGACATCAGGCACACAAATTCGGCATCAAGGCGGTCAGGAAGCCCCCCTTGTGAATAAGATGCTCTCCAGTATGTCGATATCTCATCGCCGTTCAGGATCCCCCAAAAGCACCAGAGTGGTGGGCAGCTTCCGTGGTGGGGAGTCGAACGGATGCATATCTGGAATGGGGCGCCACTGGACCGAGGTGAGGTCCTTCTAATTCGGTTATACGAACTTCACTCAAACGCGAGAAGAGTAAGCGCCGCTCTTGAATAAGATGCTCGGTAGAAGTATGGCGTCTTATAGGCGTCTAGGATTATCCCAAATACTAGAGTAAGCAGCTCCTACGGCTAAGAGTCGAATAGAGAGCATTCTAAACGGGGAGCTACTAGGCTAAGGTAAGGTTCTTCTATATACGGTATATAAGCCTTACTCTAATAAGAACGGTAGCTTTAGATTCCCCTATATATATATTATACTATACTCCTATCTTTATTATTTAAGTCTACGCTTTTAGTATATAACTTAAGTACTATTATTGCCTTAAACTTCTTATTATATATACTCCCTTACCCGTATACGGGTATAGCTCGATATCCCCGATCCTAAATTAGTCTACGCGTATACTATTTAAGGTTACTAAAGGAATTAGACTAGTCTAAACTCTATATCGCCTATTATAATACTACCTATTTACGAGCTCGCGGTATAAAGTTTTAAGAAGCCTTATACCCGTAAGTAATAGGAAGCCCGCCGAGCGGATATACGTATATACGGGTTATAGACTATATACGAACCTAGAAGTATTAAGAATATAGTCCGTATACCGTCCGGAGTATAATCCGATACGTCCGTATCTAATACTATATTACTACTACGCTAAGCTAAGGTAGAGAACGTATAACGATAGGCGGTAGGGCTCCGCCCCTACCTCTATTACGTACCTCTTACGGATCCCTTACGGTATTCTACCTAAAAGTCCTAGGATATACCCTACGGACCCCTTACGGTTACTATATAGTCCCCTTACGGACCTCTAGGGAACTCGGGGTAAAAGGTATTTTCTCCCTAACCGAACCGGAGGGAGAGCGACTACTCCCTAAAGGGGAGGATAAGAAGGAGAGGAGAGAGAGGGAGAAAGGATAAGAATTACTATTCGATTAATATTAGAGTATCCTTTATATCTACTTAGCATTCCTTATACTATATAATTACCCTAACTATCCGAGCCTACCCTAACTCTATATACTTATATTATAATAGTAATTCTTCCTCCCTACCTATTAGGGTACGGTCCGGAGAATACTACCTAAGTATAATACGAGGCGTTAGGCTACCGCCGATTCGGAGACGCTAGATACTACGACGAATATATAGAATATAACGCCGTAGGAGCCTCGTATTATTAAGATCGAAGATATACTAGAAGAGGAGAATAATAATAATATCGATAAGGATAAAGAGATAGAAGATACCTCTAATAATAACCCTATAGTTACGTTAGATAGACCCGGAGAGGATATGTTTCTCGACGACCTACGCGATACTAATATAATATAACGCGACCGTAAGAACTTAATTAAATAGATTAAGGAGGCTAAATACATCTAAGAGTAAGCTCTTAAGAAGCGCCTCCTTCTTCTCCGAGGAGAAAACTCTTCTATCTACTTCTCTAATAAGGACCTCGTAGCGTAACGGAATACTATACGTATCTAGAATAGTATATAAAGCACCTTACCTATTAGAGGATTAACTTTAGAGCTAGATATAGGGATAGATACTATACTAACTCCTACCGGCGATAATACCGTAGGGACTCCGTAAGAGTAACCTTATACTATATCGGGAGCGCTACTAAACGAATATAGTAAGCGCCGACGTAGCTCCGAAGACCTAGTTAATTTTAGCTAAACCTTAAAGCGTACTATAAAGGTACTAGAGGACTACTACGGGAAGTCTCTTAAGGAGTTCCGCGAGTTTAAGATCTCTTATAAAGTCGCCTTTCTCTAAGGAAGGTTCCCGACTAGAGTATCGAAAGTTACTTAGGCTATATAATACCTAGCTACGGACTATAAGCTAAGGGAACGCTAGTATAACTAGTAGTTTAAGGCAGACTAGCTTAAATAGGCTAGCGTTACCTAGGATTTCTTCCTTAACTTCCTTTAGGATATATTAAACGATCCGCTTATACGTTTACTCGAAGTATATAAGTAATACGTAAAGAGTTCGTAGCGTAATAGTTAATTAGTAAGATAATTCCTAACGTATATAAAAACTCTAGAGGTATAGATAGAACTATATACGTAGAAGTAGCTACTATACTACTACTTTACGAAGCTTAGACTAAAATTGCGTATAGCGGTTATAGACTATAACATTATTCTATAAAGTAAAGAGGAACTTATTACCCTCTATAGCCGATTAGAAAAGAACCTTACTAGCCGTAGCGGATCCTATACGGATCTAGGCGCGCTAGAAAGGTTCTCTACCTTAAGGGATAATAGACCTAAAGGCGGTAGAAGTAAGAGTAAGCTACGCGTAAGACCTTCTATAGGTAATAGTAGTAATCGTCCGCTAAGGGCTAAACGACCCGTAAGGGCTCCGGAGGGAAACTCTACTAGCGGTAGAGACCTATCTATAGTTACCTACTATAACTACGATAAGAAAGGCTATTATATAAACACCTATACCCTTCTAAAGAAGGATAGAAACCCTAATAAGAACCCCGTAGGTTTAGGGAAAGCCTAGGCTTCGTCGCTAAATCTTTAATAGCGATAAAGTCTAAGTAACTATACGAAGGTCCGCTTACGGTAGAATCCGAGGAGACTATCCGGAGGTACGGATACCTAAAGAAAGAAAAATAATCCTTTAGAGTTACGTATATATTAGACACGGGAGCTATAGTTACGATAATTAACTAAAAACTCGCCGTCTAGTAAGAACTACTAAGGAAGGAGGCATAACTCCCTTACTTAAAATAGTTAAAGAACTAAAGTATATACTATTATAGTATATACGAGGTTAAGCTTAACCTTACGAATAATAATAGTATATAGAGAACATATAACATCCTAATATACGGCGTCGACTTAAGCGACACCGATATCCTCTTAAGTAGATATACCCTTAAAACCCTTAGTATCGACATCTAGAATAGGCTAGGGACTTAGAGGTATAGTGCTCTTATAAGCACTATAGAACGCATCTCTCTAAAGCGTTTAAAGCGCGAGTCTAGGACAGATAAGTTAAAGATATACTTTATTAGGTAGCTTCGTATTATAAGTGCCGCACCTACTCCGTAGGGTGTCCGAGTTTACGTCGTTACCTCTTAAGGAAGTTTCGAGATAATAGTTAATAGGATACCTAAAGCTCTAGAGTTATATAAAGATGTATTTAATAGGGACTCTATAAAGATCTTACTATCCTTCCGATCTACCGACTATACTATCGAGTTAATCGGGGATAAGGAACCCCTATATAGACTACTATATAACCTCTCTATAAGAGAGCTAGAGGTACTACGTAAATATATTAGAGAGGAACTCGCTAATAGCCGTATCTAATATAGCGTAAGCCCCGTAGGGGCACCGCTACTATTTATGCCTAAAAAAGACGGAGGTCTACGCTTATACGTCGACTATCGCGCTCTAAATGTAGTTACCGTAAAGGACCGTAGAGCACTTCTTTTAATTAACGAGACTCTCGATCGCTTAATAGGAGCCTACTACTTTGCGACTATAGACCTTAAGGATACGTACTACTATATCCGTATCCGCGAGGGCGATAAATAGAAGACGGCGTTCCGTACTAGGTATAGGTACTTCGAATATAAAGYTATGCCCTTCGGCTTAACTAATACGCCGGCTACGTTCTAAGCGTATATAAACCGAGCATTAGTAGGACTATTAGATAATATCTACGTAGTATACCTCGACGATATCCTCGTCTATACTTATAGCGAGGATATTAAGGAATATTAGGCTACGGTCCGCTTAGTATTAGACCGGCTTCGATAAGTAGAACTCTTCTATAGTCTAAAAAAGTGTTCCTTCGTATAATCCGAAGTCTACTTCCTAGGATTTATCGCTAGTAGAGACGGTATTCAGAYTAACCTAGTAAAGATCTATGCTATATTAGAATAGCTACTACTAAAGACTTTAGTCGAGCTCTAAACCTTTCTAGGGTTTGCTAACTTCTATCGACGTTTCGTACCCGTATACGCGAGGGAAATAGCGGCGAAACCGACCTTCTAAAAGGTAGTTAGTCTTTTTAATAGATAGATAAAGTATAAGAAGTATTCGAGAAGCTAAAGAGGTTGTTTACCTTAGCTCTAGTACTACGCTACTTTAACCCTATAAAGCTTATACGGCTCGAGACCGATACCTTATAATTCGGAATATTAGATATCCTCTCGTAGCTCTTCGACGATAAGTAGCATCTAGTAGCCTTTACCTCTCGTAAAATGCAAGATGCTAAACGAAACTAGTAGATAT